AATCTGTCATGGGTAAATATGGCTATGGAACAATAAATGAACGTGGTGAACAATTATTGGAATTTGCAACATCTCACAATCTATTTATTTGCAACACAACATTTCAACAAAAACCAAATCGTAAATGGACGTGGGAATCACCAGATGGCATACACAAGAACATGATCGACCTGATTCTCATACAAAATCGCTGGAAAACATCCGTCACCAACTGTAGAACTTTCCAAGGAGCTGATATCAGCTCTGACCATTCCTTAGTTTTATGTAATATCAAACTACGATTGAAAAACCTAGCAAACAAACCGTAACAGAATCTGCGATACGACACCAACCAACTCAAGGACCAAGCAACAAGAAACAAATTTCAAACACAATTGAAACATCAGCTGAACAACCTCCACACCAACTGCAATATAGATGAACATGCTTTAGAAATTGAGCAAGCAATTAAACAAGCAATACAAGCAACTACAATTACACAAACAACGTCAAAGAAACCCTGGATTTCTCAACAAACATTGATCCTAGCGGATCAAAAACGAAAAGCAAAACAAACTAAACACATCTCATCGACCAACAACGAAAGATACAAGAATCTTTGCAGTCAAGTGAAGAAATCGGCAAGAATGGACAAGAACAATTGGATTCAAGAACAATGTGAAGCAATTCAAATGGGGTTGACAGTAGGACACAACAAACAAGCGTATCAATTGGTGAAATTATTGAAAAAGAAGTTTTCACAAAAACTGACCATCATCAAAAACAAAGATGGCACAGTATCACAATCAAAAATAGATGTACTACAAAGTTGGACACGATATTGTAGTGAACTGTATCAAGATAAAGGTGATAATGGCGAAAACACATTGGTAGAAGATCTGAGCAAGATATGTCCTCCAATCAACGACGTACCAAATGGCATATTATACAGTGAGGTGGAAGACGCAATAAACAAACTGAAGAAAAATAAAAGTCCTGGTGTTGATGGCATCACGGCTGAGACGCTTCAAGCTTGTGGAGAAAAACTGAAACACAAAATTCACGAACTATGCAACAGAGCATGGGACGAGGAAATGATTCCTGAACGTTGGGGACGGTCAATTTTGATACCGATCCCCAAGAAAGGAGACCTCAGTCAATGCTCAAACTACCGAACCATTTCTCTCATTAATCATACAGGAAAGGTTCTGCTTATGGTATTACTGAACAGACTAAAACAACATCTGGATCCATACATGTCGGAAGAACAGGTGGGGTCCAGAAAGGATCGGAGCACAGTTCAACAAATTTTGATTCTCAGGCTTCTGGCTGAAAAAGCAAAACGTAATGGAAAGAAAATCTACAATTGTTTTATAGATTTTCAAAAAGCTTTTGATACAATCAAACACAAAATTATATGGGTGGTGCTCAAATCGTACGGTGTGGACAACAAGGTGGTAATATTACTTCAACAAATTTATGGACAATCTCGTTCAGCAGTTCGAATAGGAATGGATCTTGGTGAATGGTTCCAATCAAGCGTTGGAACCAGACAAGGCGATCCCTTGTCACCACTTCTGTTCATTACTTATTTGGAAAGAATAATGGACCAAATAACTTCAAACAATTTTGGATTCAATATCGGTGGAATCGTAATCAACAACCTAAGATTTGCGGACGACATTGATCTTCTCAGCGATAACCACTTCTCACTTCAAGAACATATCGAGCAGCTCACAAAAAGAGCAGAAGAAGCTGGACTTATGGTAAACATCAAGAAAACAAAAACTATGGTGTTCGGTGATAAAAATATTGATCAACAAATGGAAATCAATGGTGAACATATCGAAAATGTTGAGGAGTTCGAGTATCTGGGAAGTCTGATAACCTGGGATAACAACTGCTCGAAAGAAATAAGAAGACGAATCAATAAAGCAACTGGTGCAATGGCAAGTCTGAAGCATATATGGAACACAAAGAAGGTGAAAGTAGAAAACAAAATAAAACTTTTAACTACTTGCGTCTTCAGTGTCTTACTATATGCATCAGAAACATGGACACTAAAGGAAGCTGACAAACAGAAATTATTGGCATTCGAAACGAGGTGTTATCGGAGAATACTCAAAATCCATTGGAAAGACATGGTACGAAACGTCGATATAAGAAAAGAACTCGATGCTTACGAAACAATAATTGACGTTATCAAAAAACGTAAGCTAAGATTTTTTGGACACATTTGCAGGATGGACAACAACAGACTCCTGAAACACGTAGTATTTTCTAGAATAAACGGAAAGTCCAGAAGAGGACGACCATGCAGAGAATGGTTAGACGATATTACAGACTGGTGCGGATACAGCTTGCAAGACTTGGTTCACCTTGCGCAGAGCAGGTACCAATGGAAAAAGCTTATCCAAACCGTGGTTGGCCCCAACGGGCGATAGGCCTATGGGATATCAAGATCAAGATCAAGATAGGTTTCATGCGACGATCCGTCCTAGCATCGGTCTTCACTCAGGAGGCTTCTGGCAGTTATATAGTCACTGGTGTCCTGAGTCGGAGTTTCCATCTAATCTTGAATATTTTCCTTTTCCCCCCGGATAAATTCTCGCGTTCTATTCGTTGTTTTGACCACCGATTCTCAAGAAAATTGCTTGACTCTCTACGTCCAAATCTGACGAACATTTTCTTGAATGTGCGAACGATAGTTTAGATGAGACTAGAAATGAAATGAGCATGCAGATCTGGCATAAACATTCACCTACATTCTTGTCATCTGTTGGTAACCCATCTGGATGTGATTATTAACTCAAATAGTAATCAATCGCTTTGCTAATAAACTAATCGATTATGGATTTATTTGTTGAAAATGAAAGTTATCAGAAAAATGAAGAAAAAACTTTTTTTGAAATTTTAATTTTGAATTTCTTTTGTTAAGTGTGAAAAATATCTGAAAAATGATTTATATCCATATCTATTACCTAAGTCATATGATGATGTTGAAGATTTAACTATTGAAAATTGGAAAGATTTTCTTGAAAGTGAACCATTTCGTGTAAATGCTCAGGTAAGTTATTATTATTATTTTTTTTTTTTGAAAATTATTTTCACTTGAATTTTATATTTAGTGTGTTCGTTCCGTTGGACCATGGTCAGCAAGAACGAAAACAATAGAATCATCGATTCAAAATGCTTATATACAAATGATTGATGTTGCTAAACATTATATATATATTGAAGTAGAGTAATTTTTCAAAAAAAAAATATAATTTTCGATTATTTTTTTGTATTTAGAATCAATTCTTTGTTTCAATTGCTCAAGATTCAGTAGTTCGAAATCAATTAGGTGATGTTCTTTTTCGACGTATAGAACGAGCACATAAGTATGAAGTATTTTATTATTATTATATAACATCTTTAACCGTTTCTTTTATTGATTAGAAATGATGAAAAATTTCGTATTTATATTGTTCTTCCTCTTTTACCTGGTTTTGATAGTATGAATACCGTACAAGCTGTACTCTATTTTATCATGCGTTCAATTGTTAAGGGTGATAATTCATTATTTAAACGACTTGAAAATGCAGGTAAATCAAATATTTTGCTCATAGTTTTCTTGTCGTTTAATAATAGATATAAAAAATCGAATAGATTAGCAGTTTGTCAATCTCATATTATGATTTACAACAGTAAATAGAGCACAGATGTCTATCTTTGTTTGAACATCAAAGATAATAGAGTTTATGTTAGTGTACATATTTAGTGTTATACGGAAAAGAAATTTTTAGAACTACATAGAATTAAAGACGAAGATCGGAAATGTTCAGGATCAGCTTTTGTCGGACGTTGTACTATGTTTGAGAAAAATTTTCTAATATTATCTTACTCATTCTACACTTCCTCATTCTTATGGAACGTGAACAAGTATTCCTTGTGGTGAAATTTTCGTGCAAAAAATCGTCTAATCCGTATGAAAATACGAAATGGAGAATGGTTTCTGATATACACAAAGATATTCAATAATATCTACTCACGAGGGAAGATCTTCAACTGTCCAATTCCCTTTTGAGTTCGGACTTTGTGCAAAAGATAGACCTCAATGAGATATGAAAAACCCCAAAAGATTAAATGCCCTTAGGCCTTCTGTCAAAAGATATAGGCATTTTACTGGAATTTTAGCCTATGACATGGCATATACCAATAAATCAAATGACAGTATTTCGACCTGAGATTTTGCCCACAGACAAGTCTATTTGTGAGTGGAATATCCTGAAAATTTCAGCTGAAAATGATATTTCCTTCTAGAGATATTTAAGTCCTAAAAATGAC